TCAAGGTCCACAAAGTACTGCACCTGCCACGAAATCTGCACTTCAAGGTCCACAAAGTCTTGCGCCTGCCACAAAATCTGCACTCCAAGCGCCACAAAGTACTACACCTGCCACGAAATCTGCACTTCAAGGCCCACAAAAAGTCCTGCGCCTGCCACAAACTCTGCACTCCAAGGCCCACAAAGTCCTGCACCGCAATGCACCCATTAGAAATAGACTGGTCCACCACATCTTTTTCCTGAGGAGATTCCCATCCAGGCACCTGCCGATGCTGCTACACCCATTCCAAACACTTCTCTGCTCTGAGCGCTCTGACAACGCCATGTAGGGCCTAACTTCGTGTGAACGCCGACTACTCCTCCTCCTGCTGCTGCTGCGCTGCTGCTGGTGCTACTGCTACTGCTACTACTACTACTAGTACTAGTACTACTACTACTACTACTACTACTACCCCAACCACCCTCAGTGGGCTAGAATTTTTTTTTTGATTCCCTTTTTATTTTTTTATTGATCCCCGTTGAATATCTTTTTTGATTCTATTTTTATTTTTTTTTTGATCCCTTACCCCGCTTTGTGAGTGATTGTTGTCACCAACAAACCCCAGGACGTGAAGTTCCTGTGGGATGTCGATGAGAGCGAAGTTCAGGCCAAGTGTTCGGTCACGCCAACAGGTCGAAAACACCGTACGCTCGTTTCTGACATTTGTATTGCTTCAAGGCCTCCAGCTTGGGTGAATTGGCAGGTTCCTAAGAGTCTCAAGGTCTTGCAAGCAGAGGGATATTGACGAAATAGGAGGTTTTCTATGGCAGTGCCCTTGGTCATATTTGATGCTGCACTTCAATACAGAGTGGGCAAGCTTTTTCAAAACCTCACGAGGCACATGCCGCTGCGTTCCCCAATGTGCACTTCGCGCCTGGTGTGTGCGAGCACCCAAACCTCCCTGTCAATCTCTGTAAGCGTCGACTGCAGCAGAACTCGCAAGGCCACAGATTTTGGTGCTGGGCCATGTGGCGGCGTTTGTGACACACTGTGGTTTCTCGGATGAATGGAATTGACATGAAATTACAGACTTTGTTTCAATGTGTGTTCTGAACATAGGAAGTGTCATAAGCATGACTTTTGCTTTCGACAGGATGCGCGCGCACACACACACAGAGCAAAAGACATGGTCAGATTTTTTTACTAAAGATGCTGGTTGAACATGGCCCAGCAGTCGGGCTTTATCATACTATTCTGTCGTATAGACGCGCTGTGGAAACACTGTTCGAGTGTGCTCGGTATTTGAGGTCTGAACTCTGTCCACGAGGCTCTGCACTTTGGTGTGCCGATGCTGGGCCCAGAGCTCAGACTGAGCTGCGCCACTTTTGCATTGTCTTAGTCTTGTTCCATCTTGTTCCTATTGACGCCCGATTTGAAGCTTACTTCCCAAAAAAGCTCTCCATGCCGTTCAAAGCTGGGGGCAGTGGTTTTCCATGCTGTACAAGTGGCCTTTTCATGCCATCCTGGTTGTGTCTCTGCTGCAGTGTTTTGCTCGTCTCCACTAGGTATATATCTTGTTCCAGTCAGGAGTTTGCTGGTGTCGGTCCAGTGGGGGTCGCCTGGATACAACTTGGAGGTTCTTTTGATTCTGATTGGGATCATTGCTCTAGACTACTAGATGCCGCTGGCGTGTACTCTCGAGCGAACTGGGGTGCCCCTGC